TGAGTGGCGCACGACAGAATAGTGCAGTTCGGAGATCAGTTGAGCCATACTCAGTGTTGCTCCCATATTTCCTTCATCGTATTGGTTTTTGGGACACAAAGGAGAATCCTATGGGAATCCCCGCCAATGATCCTTTTGAGATTCATGTCGTTGATGGGTTGCCAACGCAAGATAACACGTAAATTATTATTGAATATTTCTGATTCTTATTCATTTTTTGTATATGAATTCGTATTTGGATATTATCCTAACTTTTATTCAATGTTTAGGTGCTACCTTGTATGTAGTGATTGCGGTGTTTATGTTGCTGCATTTGCTGAGTACATCATTCAAGGCAACAATATTCCTAAAGCTATTGATATTGACGGGATACGGAATCGATATGGTATATTGCTATGGGATTATGGAGTGAAGAAACAAAGAGGATATGCAACTAGTGATGATGAGTCTACTGGTAGATTGAAGGATTAGATAAAAAAGGATAACAAGAAAAAGAGCAAGTCGCATTCCATTGTTGATGACAAGTCTTTGAAGGATAACAAGAAAAAGGGCAAAACGCATGTTGGTGATGACGAGACTTTGAAGGATATCAAGAAAAAGGGCAAGTTGAAGGGCAAGATGAAGTAGTTTGGGATCGTTTAACAGAAATTTCGCATGTAGTTTTAAGATGGAAGTAGTTTGGTTCTTATATTGTCTATGATAGGATACAGTTGCATACCTATATCACATTTTATGCTTTTTGTTTGGGATGTCTTTGAACAATATGTTTGAAATGCTAATGTTGAAACAGCTATTGCATTTTCGACAGCAAATTGGAAAGGCATGCAAGAAATATATGTTGCTTGTAATGTTACTGTTTTGCTGTTTTCATATTATGCCAGTGAATAGGTGATAAGAAAGCGTTTAAAACCTGTCATGTTGCATTGGGCCAGTTAACTTTACAATCTTAAGCACTGTGGCATCATTAACTGTAGCGTAAGTGTAAGATACTGTTAACTGTAGTTTTGTATATCTATCTGTATATTTTTTGGATAGTCAGAGTCTATTATGTAATTGTATATATATACAATTTCTATTTTGTATATTTAATTGGTAATCCCTCTTTTTTGTATAGTTTTTATATAGTGACGTCTATTTTGTATATTTTTTGTATAGCTATAGTTTATTTTCTATTTTTTTGTATAGGAACAAAATATTTCATATAAATTGTATAGTGACAGTCTATTTTGTATATTTTTGTATAGTAACAGTCTTTTTTGTATATTATTTTGTATAGTGATATCCATAATAGTATTTGAAATAAAACTTCTACCAATACTTTCATTATAACAAAAAGTAGCATCTTAATTCATACATCAGAGAGAATCTGATTGCAAATCTCATTATTTTTCCAATATTCTAATTGCAATATTCAGAAGGATTTTTTTTACAAAATACTAAATCACTGTAGCAACATCTACTAGTTGTCTTGAGCATTCATGCATGTTCTTCTGTTATGTCCTTGTTTTCCATACAGTCCACATGTAACAGTTTCAGTATACAGATATTCATAAAGTCTCTTGCGTCTCGACTTCGTCGGTCTTCCTGGTTTGCCCTTCACTATCGGTGGTAGGACCACATTATCTAACACCTATGTTGGAAGGTCCCATGTAGTTTCATCAGGAAGTGGATTAACTGGCACTTCATATGTCTTCTTGAAGTATTCCTTGGTGTAATAGGAAGAACAATATTTGGGTGCTTCCATGTGTGTGTAGTCCAATACTGCCATAGCATGTGGACAAGGAATCTCATCTACTTGAAATCGTTTGCACCAACATTCTCTTTTTTGTATGCAGACTATGTTCCGCCTTTGTTCAGCATCCATTACTACATATACATAATCGGTTGAAGGCTTAACCTAAATTTAAATAGATATTATTAGTAAAACTAAAACAGGGATATGACAAGTATTACTGCATTTTTGTCAAAGTATGTTACTCCGGCGTATGAAGTAAGACATGATAAAAGAATATTTACCGTCATCTTCTGCGACAAATAGTTATTTTCCTTCAGTACCTCATGATATTTTTGTCCTATGTCAATAAATGTACTCATTGCAGTCATTCTATTCGTATTATTCCATTCCATAACCAAATTCATCATGTAATCTAGCAAACTCATGATTGGTAGCTCTCTTGCCTCTCTGTTCCTTGCATTGAGTGACTCGGCAATATTTGAAGTCATCACCATGGATCTATTAACAGTGGAATGCACTATAGACCACTTTTCATAACCAACTTGGAATAGGTAACCCCTTACCCTCTTATCAATGATGTCCATATCTTCCATGAGGCGATTAAAATCTTCAATTTTGTATGCTCTGGCCATTGCAAAAAATACTTCCCTCAGCCGGTCATGGTTCTTCTTGAACTGCTTCTTTATGTTATTCCAAAGATGAAAGATGCATACACAGTGAGATACCTCTGGATACACAATCGAAGCACCCCTCAATATGCTTGCATGACGATCCGATACGATGCACATCCTTTCCCTTTCCCCAAAAGCTTGTCTAAACATTTCACAAAACCATTCCCATGAAGCATCATTTTCAGAATCTACAACAGCGTATGCTAGTGGAAAAATTTTACCTGCTTAAGCAAATAAGAAAGTATCCACATGTTATTTTTTTATACACAAATAAGAACTATCTATACCATATATAATTATTATACGAGTCTGCAACATATTCACCTGCTGCATCTTGTGCGCTAGCTGTTAACATTGTTCCTCTGTGTGATGATTTGAGGAATGTCCCATCAACCACTACGATAGGGTAACAGTATTTCCATCCTATGATTGATGCATTTAGCGCAATAAAAACATACATGAAGCGCATGTCCTCTGATTTATGTAACCTTGTGACAGAACCAGGATTTGTCATATTTATCATATACAAGTGACCCGGCAGCTTTCTATAAGATTCACGTGGTATCCCTCTTAGTAGTTCAAGCGCCTTTTCTTTTGTTCTATAAGCTTTTATGTAACTCATATTAATCGCATATTGTTGTTTCATGTCGCTCATGATGTCTGTCGGAGTGTATATTGTTTTTGGATTGGTATATTTGTTGCAAATCATTTTTGCAATGGTTGACGAAGTAGCATGACGTTGTAAAAACAATCTACTCATCTCTAGGCAAGTGTGAACATCATTGAACCGTCTAACCTTGAAGACATTTGATTTGTGTAGACTTGAAGATCTAAGACTCCATTTGCAACTTTCATCCATGCATGTAAGACAATACCTATTTAAAATATAGTGTTATGATAATGCATTTATTCAGATTTTTACACGTGTCTCAAATAAACAAGCAGTATACATATGCAATCTCACTATACAATAACTATATATTTTTATACAGATCTGTATACAAATTACAGAGAAGTGCAATCTTATTATACAATAATTATACATTTTTTATACAGATCTATATACAAAAAATTACAGAGAAGTGCAATCTTGTTATACAATAATTATATATTTTTTATACAGATTTGTATACAAAAAATTACAGAGAAGTGTAATCTTATTATACAATAAATATACATTTTTATACAGATCTGTATACAAAAAATTACAGAGAAGTGTAATCTTATTATACAATAATTATACATTTTTATACAGATCTATATACAAAAAAATTACAAAGAAGTGCAATCTCACTATACAATAATTATACATTTTTTATACAGATCTGTATATAAAAAATTACAGAGAAGTATAATCTTATTATACAATAATTATACATTTTTTATACAGATCTGTATACAAAAAATTACAGAGAAGTGCAATCTCATAAGTAGAAATCATACCTTGTTGTAGATGATCTATCCACTATAAATTGATATTTTTTCCGTATTGCGTAGTGCTTCATTACACTAATGAGTGTATTTTTGTCCCAATACAACTGACCTTCTGCAATTTCTTCATGTTGTGGATTGTCTATTATACAATTTCCCTTCAATATCTCAATTTTGTCTTCCTTTACATGATTATCCATCATTTCAACAATATTAGTTCCATGTACTTCTTCTATGTTCTGACATTGTAAACCAACTGAAGTTGTTGCAAGTAAGTTTCCAGCTGAAGTTGTTGCAAGTAAGTTGTCACTCAAGTATGAACTTGAATATGAGCATTCAACACTTGAATATAGAGTTTTCAATGTTATGCATAATGGATATTCAGTGATATCCAGGTTTTTCTTTTTCATCTCCATATACAAGCGCACACTCATATCATTGTATATTGGAATTGCTACATAGTCATCCTTCACTGTATATTTTATCTCCATTGCACTCGTAATTGAATCTCTACCCAATTGCTTGTATGTCTCATCAACAAAATAATCATAGCTACAGTCCGAATTGATCAACACGCCATTAACAAGGAAATTAACAAATTTACTCTCACTTACCCATTCACCACTGTGTTGAAGTAAAATCGGAATCAAAGTTGGAACTGTAGTTCCAACATTCACAATCTCCATAGACATTTGTTGATTTTGTCGATTTTGTATTAATTTCACAATTTAAGAACGAAATCTCAACTCTATTAAGCTGATTGTAGGCAGCAATTGTGCAAAAAAATTGAATTTCAGCGTGAATTTTTGGGAACTCTTCTCTGGGTTTAATCTTCAGAAACCCTAGAATTTCTTTCACAATGTGAATAATTGGGCGACTTTTATAGTGTTTGGAGGTTGAAGATTCCATATTGAATGTGTGAATTTAGGATACAAAATCGATTAGAACTGCTTTCCTTTTCGTTTGCGTTGAACGTATGATTTCAGCTTTTTCAGTTGCTAGCCTTTGTTATTGTTTTGAGGCTATTACTTGTAAGGGGTTATTTTGTGGCTATCAGGTGATATAAGTTTGGCCCTAGTGACTATAAATGAAGTTTGCTCATCAATTTAAGACTTAATTGACCCAAAACTAAAGGAATAACCCCCCTTGCAAGTTCACCATAATAAGTAATCAACCAACATAGGAATTCATCCTAAACACTCTCAATAAGTTTTCATTCACAATATCAAAATAAGCTAACCCTAAAATAAAGAGCCTTAAGGGCTATTTACACTAGGGAGCTAAATATTACAAATATAGCCACCAAATGTAATATGGTCTTTAATTGTTGGCGAAATTATACATGTAGCCGCCCCGTTATGAAAGTAGCCTTCAATGCTCGATGGCTATCTAGATTGTATCACATTCTCACAGAACTACTGAATTTTGCTACGTTGCGTACTTCCATAGCACTGCTTACATAATAATTCATCACAGTTACTTTTACATCCTCCAGTGTGTCATATGTATATAAAATATCCAGAAAGCCCAATATACATAAGAATAATGCTACAACCTAACCTCTGTTTTCTCCATTTTGGGGGCTTGGGTTGGGGGGAGGGTTGAGGGGTAGCCTAACCTTTTGATCCTTGAAGTGTTTCCAGAATATGTTCTATTCTGTACTTCATGACAGGTTGGCCAGACTTAGTTTTCTTGAACATTTTCTCCCTTAGCATTTTCCTTCGACATTCAGCTCTCTGTCTTTCTTCTTTCTTTGCTAGAATAGTGGCTTCTCTCTCCATCCTTGCCTTCTCTTCCTCCTCCCGTTTTCTCTCATATACTTCTCTCAAGCTTCGAGCACTATACTTCTGGTTCTTCTTATTTCTGTTATCCACCTTATCAGTTTTTTCAATCTTTTCTTCATCCTGATATAGCAATTGGAATTAGAATAAACATCAACCTCCCTTTCCTAGTTCCAATTTTACTCAATAATGTAGCATGAAAGTAGAGAACAATAACACAACCCAGAGATGTCATAGATCAAAGCATGTTCATACTATAAATCAGCTAAGTTGAGCATTTCCCAAATGATTAAATTCCATAATTACACTACATTCTAAGCCATTTTGAAATGAACTTTAGGTTGTCCACATAAAGCGCATGTCTTCATGCTTTAACCAAATTTAATTAGACTTTGCACAACGTAGAAGGAAACAAAAGGAACAAACAAGAGATGGCTAATAACAAACCTCTAGTTGTCTAGCACCCTCAGAAGGCTCTCCTTGTTGCTTAACTATCCTCTTATATTTATTCACATATTTGGCATTCTTATAGAACTCCCTTTGCTTCTCTGCGCAAAAATAACAGCGTATAATACATAAGGTATAGTTACGCGACAATGGCAGACACATGAACTTTAATAAGGGAACTTCAGAATGATGAACATACTGATCAAAATTGTGGGCAAACATCCATATATAAGAGTAAAATCTGAGATTTATCTCATCTAAAGTAAGAAACTCAGTAACTCCCCCAGAATGATAAAAACAAAAACAATCGGGAAATCAGTTAAAAATTCCTCTTGTGCTTTCTATTGTCTACTGTCTATTGAAATTGCATGACACAACACCTCATTAAGCACAATCAGGAGTATCTATAATCATACTGCTTCAAGTAAAATATTAGAATGAGTTATATTACATTCAAACCTAATAATTATAAAAAATAGGTTAAATTGAAATAAAGCAAAAAAGAATGTTCTTTTTTTGCAGAGAGATTTACTTATGATGGCAGGGTTGTAATTGTTGCTCTTGGTTTTGGCGTTGGCAAATGCTTCCAGTGATAAGCCTCCTCTTCCTCCTAATCTTTGCATATTCTTCTTCATCTTCTTCTTCGAATTTGAGCCTTTGATTTTCTGATTTGTGTCCATCTCACGCGCATTTTTTGAGTCTGCAATTTTCTTCATAATGCTGCGGAGAAAAAGCACCCCTACTTAAATTTGGGGCTGATAAACTTCAATCTGAAACCCTAGATTGCAGAGAATGAAGACGAGGGTGATGAATCTAGGTTTAAGATGGGCTCATCAATTGACCTGCTAATCCAATACGAACCCCTCTAAAATGGAGGCCCAATAGGCTACCCAAAATATTTTGTAGGAATTAGCCTATGTGTCCTGAATTTTAGTTTTCTAGTTTAGTTTCAGGACATTTGTGTTATGAATTGTCTTGAAATTAAGATTTTTAGTTTAAATTTTGAGGACAAAATAAGTACTGATTAATCTCTTAATAGCAACCCTAAGAATAGTTGTTTGTGTTCTTTCCCCAAATACTTTCCCCAAATACAAAAAGACTCGAGGATTTGCACAAATAGGATACTTTTGTGCTGATATTTAAGTTCTGTCCATACTAGTGCGAAATTGACATTTTTAAGTTTAATGAAAAATATTTAAAGTAAAATATCCTCAACTTCATGATCTGCAGCTCCAACCTTCAGTTCCAGTAGCTTCAAATAGCACTATGTGCTAGATATAGTTATTTTACCAATTTAAAGAGGTTGGGTAATAAGTGAATTATCTTATTTTTTTTAACATAGGAGCAAGAAAAGTCTAACTAGACGAGTTCAAACTCATGATGTTGTGGATCAAATTAGAATTTTAGCCAAGTTTAGCAAACTTCTTTTAGGTTGCATACTATCATAAATAGTCCCAAAAGTTTGAGATTTCCAATTATACATAATTGACGTAACAATTAAACGGGCATCCTATTTGGTGGCCCTCATTTAATCTATACCCATTTTTTTAAAAATTTTGACTTGTACCCACTTTTTAAACAATTTCAGCCTCTTTTCTCCTTCTCCTTCTCCTCCTCAAAGTTATATCCGCCCTCAATCCGATGGCCCACTCCTTTCTGAAGCCGCTGATTGTGAAAATGTTCCAGTAATTGACATGGGCTGTGGAGATAAAAACCTTTTAGCTCATCAATTTGGTATTTAAGAAGTATACCAAATTGGAGGAATCTGACCAAGAGGATTACATAAATTGGTAAGCACTTGTATTTCCATCTAATACTTTCAACTTTCGAATCATATAGAAAGTCAGTTAAAACTTCAACTCTAAGAAGGCTGGAGCTGAAATTCGCCAGTTACAAACAAAACCATTACAAAAACAAAAACTTCAGCTCTAGAGCTGAAGTTCGCCAGTTACAAAAACAAAAACTACAACAATTACAAACAAAAACTTCAGCAAATAAAGAACAAAACTTCAGCTACTATGCTTAAGTTCAACAATTACAAGCAAAAACTTCAACAAATAGAGAACAAAACTTCAGCTACTATGCTTAAATTCAGCAATTACAAACAAAAACTTCAGCACACTTGGTTCAGCACACTTGCTACTTCAGTCTCGTCTACTAGAATGCTGAAGTTTTGCGTGATTGTCTTTGCTACTTCAGCCCCGTATGCTGAAGTTACGCGAAAAAGTGGGTACGCTTGCAATTTTTTTTGTAAAGCGGGCACAAGTTAAACGTGACCCAAAAGGCAGATATAGATTCAAATGCCCCATAATTGACGAATTTACAAACACAGAATCTTCATTGCAAGTTTAATGCAAGTATTAATAAGTAAATTAGTTGTCAATGGTAAAAAATTACTCACTCAAATTTCTAACCAAGCAATGAATGCAAGACATGCATCATCCACACATATATCACTTAATTAACCATAATTATGTAATATATATTCCCGCCTTAATTTTTGATTGCTATGGTTCAATTGTTTGGTCCCCTCACGCAATTGCAATACTAATTTTAAATTCAGTTAATGTAGTTCAGACAAACGCAAGAGCCATACATTCACCAATTAGTCCCTTTGTAGTGTGTCACCAAACTTACAAGCAAGAGCTCAGAGGTAAACATTTGTGTATAGAGTTGGACCCAAAGTTTCATTTCAGTGGATGTAACAATTACATTCATTGTTCTTTTTGTGGTAATCGATGCAAACTCAGCATATATATATATATATATATATATGTTATTTAACTATACTTGTTCTGCTTTGTGATACTTTCTGAAGATTTTCACTAAGCAACAGGATAAGCTTTATCGGATGATTATTGCCCATATTCTTTACAGTTAAACGGCCGATCACTAGAAGAAATGAATCAAAATGAAAAAAGGAAAAAACAAGTAGAGGCAGTTGCCTGTTCCATGTAAAAATACACCACTTAGATCAAGCTGAGCATATAATGTCCATTGCCCATGTCATTGGGGATCTTCGCCAGTACCAATCATGCGGGTGTTATATGAATTACAATGCTTGCATTTGTGGCCAAGAATGTGAAAAAATGCTCTACCAGTACAATTGCAGTCATTGCAGAGAATTGGAACCTGCAAAGTAAAAGCTCAACCTCTATCATCCATGTTTTTTTTTTCCGATTCAAAACAGCATCACAACAAAACATTTCCTTCTGGAAAAGAAATTTTTTACCTACAAAACATCTCAATCTTCTAAAAAACAAAAATCGAGATAAAACAGTTAATAACGTGACCAGATCTGTAAGATAAGCATGCATTGCCTTCAGCGACAAATATCTAAGTTCACTCTCAAACTAACCCCACACCTTACCCATTTCTTTCCAATATTCACCAGCAAAGCTCCAGGCCAAAATCATCATAACCCCTCCATTTCTGCTAGGTAGTCTGTTCCCTTAATCACCACCCCAACCCCCAACCCCAACCCGCTCCTACCACCTGCAGTTATAAAGGAGAAAAAAATAAAGCAGAAGAGAAGAAATTTTGCTAAAAGAGGTTCCTATGACTCCAACTCAAGAGCCTGCTGCAATTAAGTTTCTTGTGACTTATCCCCAAAAAAAATCCTTACGCTCAATTTTCTTTTACAACAACACGAACAACATACCCAGTATAATCCCACATGTGGGGTCTGGGGAGGGTAATGTGTACGCAGACTTACCTGGAGAGATAGAGAGGCAGTTTCCGATAGACCCTCGGCTCAAGAAAGTGTGGAGAGGAAGAGAAGGGAGAAGAAGAAGAAATAGGGGGAGGAAAGAAACAAGAAGGAGACAAAGGACGATAAGACAAAGGGGGGAAGTAGTAGCTCAATTTTCTTTTAAATCCATATAAAAGGAAACACATGAATCCAAAATGACCAGCAACATTTAAAATTTAAAAGTAAAGAGAGTACCAAAACAACATTTTCCGACAAGAAAGAGCCGCTTACCTCATACCGATATTCTTCAGGCATGGCTGTTGCCTCAATCTATACAAAAAAACTTGATCATCAGTAAACAGTCATAATGTGCTATGGTTCATATCATGCTCTAAAACTCTGTAATACTTAAACGACAAACATAAGAAGAATATATTGACTAGAAATATTTGTATATGAATAAAATATGTGAAATCTCTGCTGTCTGCCCTAACAAAATAAAAAAACTTAAAATCAACTAATCATCCAGCTCCAGGAAATGCACTCCTATAACGAGCTAACCATGCATGTCAAATGGTGGTAACCGCAATTAAGCTGGAGAGAGGAATTACAAAGAATTAATCCTCTGAAACACAGGAACCCCAAGAAAGCATGATGGACCGCCGGGGAACTGTTTGCCTCGATCATTGTTAAGTGACAACTTTCACAAAGTCTAATCTTCCTCAGTGGCCTAGTGGTTAATGAAGTGGGAGAACCATGAGATCTTAGGTACAAATCCCAACAGAGGCAAGAAATACTAGGAGATGCTTCCCAAATCCTAATAGCCATAGCCTTGGTGGGTAGAGTTACCCGGTATCTATGTTCATTGTAGTACATCAGGTACACGGTAGAATAAAAATTTTAATATTTTTGACGGAGAAACAAAGGAGGGATGCAACACAAGGACTTCCCAAGGGGTAACTAGGTACCCGGTGGAATAGTTAATGTGGTCACAAGCTAACCTGGACACCACCGTCACAATCACACACATACATATAATGTATAGGTGCACTAGATAATTTGATCCAAAGTATTTATCACAAATACCCCACTTGATTTCACCTCCCTTAATATACTTTCTTCTGCGTTGAAATATCTGAGGAGTACTTATAGGCTTTAATCATAGGGAATCAAAATATTTATCACGACTACCATGCTCGGGTACACCTCCCTTCCTATTTGTGCTTCCTTATTGAAATATCTAAGGTACTTCTAGACTTTAATCACTGGGAACCATAGCATCAAGCTAGAAATCACATCTCCCACTACTCCTATAATAAGAAAACTAAAACCTACGGAAGCGACCTGGGAGTCCGAGAAGGACGTGCGGAGCAGATATTCACATTTATTAAGCACCTCAGGTACTTTTCTATGTCCGTTCGAGGACGAACGTTTGTTTAAGAGGTGGAGAATGTAACGACCCGACTGGTCGTTTTGCTTTTTAGAACCCCGTTCCCTTAAATAAAACTTCACGTGCTTGTTTTAACTAATTTACGACCTGCGGGGATGATTGGTTCGGGATTTGGAAGAGTTTGGGTTGAAATATGCTCATTTGATTCCTTAAAATTTTCTTAAAAGGCTAAGTTTGACTTTGGTCAACATTTTTAGCAAACGGACCCGTATTCATGTTTTAACGGTCCCGGAAGGTCCGTAGGAAAATATGGGACCTGGGCGTATGTCCGGGATCGAATTCCGAGGGCATCTGTCGAAAGCCCTATTCTCAATTTGACATGGCCAAGAGTTTTATGTCCAATTACTGGAGGGTTTAGAAACCCTGCAAGTTGCAAAGAGCTTTCTTGAATAACGATTTAGCACATATCCAACAGTAAGATAATTTTGGTGATTGCTGCACCAGGCTTACATTCCAACCAATTTTCAACAGCCATCGACAGATTGGCACAATTTCCCAAACCAACATGAAATCTTCCAAGTAATTTCCAGAATTTAATCCCTAATATCAATGCACCAAGACCATTTACCCTCTAGTATATCCTATCTATATAACTATACTTTCTTGTTCTCATATCATGCCATTTCACATTATGATAACTTCTAATATATATCTAACTCGAGCCAAACATGAAGCCAAGGTCTTCTACTCCATTTTCCCCACT